GTGGCGGTGCCGCAGCGGCCTGCCAGCCTCTCCCAATGAAACCGTAAGACTGGAGAGAAATGTTTGAGAAAAGAAAGGGATGCTGGGCTTTTTTGCACTTGGATAAACTATGAGGATGCCGTAACTCGTAAGGGCCAACACTGATAAGATGCATTCTGATGCTGGCATAAGAGGTGATCGTGGCGCCGGTAATATTAAATAATGTAGACGTTTTCATCCCGTTAGTGAGCAGCGACAGTTGACAGCAACCAATTACCGATTATATTCTCCGTCATCATTGAGAACAAACTGCGGCACATTTTCATTCCCCTTAGCAAAACATCCCTACAAGCCAGCTTAAGACACCGCAAAACTGAACAATGCTCACTTTGCACGCTCGCTTCAATGGCTATCAGCGAAACTCAAGCACAGTGTACGTGTGCCAACAATGTCGTGCAAATAGTGCAAAGAATACACGGTAGCAGTGCTGAGCTCCGCTCGCTATGCACACAAAGTAAGATAAATCCGCAGACTCTAGAGTCGGGAGTTTCCATGGATTATCAAACACGGCGAGAGGTGTCAATAAGCGGAGACAGGTGTCAGATTTCTGGTGATATTGCGGTCAAGTGTCCGGGATTGTGTCAATGGCCTTTCGAAAACCGTTTGTGCGAAATGTTTTGCAAGGTTTTGGAGTGGGTAGTTCAAAACAAACCAATATAAGTCAATTGAAATTTGAAACAATGCCGCTGAAACATTTCCGAAAATTAACGATAATTTCAGTGAAAGGCGACATTTTTACAATAATTTGATATGGATTCACAATTGACGTGTTTCTAAATCGACCTCAAAAGGTGTGGCAGGGCATTCGCAAAACTCGTAATCAAACCGAGGGAAGTCGCGTCCTGCAGATAATTCCGAATCCTGCATGTTAGAGCTGCATGCTAGAATCCTGCATGTTAGATCCCCGCATAGAAATTAAATGAAAGAAAACAGCATGACCTATAGGCATAAAGAAGCATAGTCCTAGACGGCTTGTACGGCCGCTGATTTATCCTCGGGACCAGACTTGTGCCAAGGTCCCAAAAAGGTCCGAGATCCAGGGTTCGCAGAGTCCAAGGTCTGGGACCTTGATGGATCCTGGACCTTGCATTGTCATTTTTGTCGTGAGACCTTGGAAACCCAGGACCTTAAAACATCCATATGCCGCGAGACCTTGGAATCCCAGGACCTCAACATTTGCATATGTCGCTAGACCTTGGAATCCCAGGACCTCAACATTTGCATATGCCGCGAGACCTTGGAATCCCAGGACCTCAACATTTGCATATGTCGCGAGACCTTGGAATCCCAGGACCTCAACATTTGCATATGCCGCGAGACCTTGGAATCCCAGGACATCAACATTTCATGTGACATCAACATGAGACCTTATAGAAACCCAGGACCTCAACATTTCTACCTATGCCGTGAAACCATGGAAACCCTGAAACCATGGAAACCCATGGGGGGTCAGGACTCAGGACCTCACAATTTTGGTATGCTGCAAGACCCTGCAGAATGCAGACCTTCAGTCCCAGTATTATTATTTGTCATGGGATCTTAGGAGAAGGGTCTGGATCTACACCATCATTTTCTTGAGGGACCTCAAGAATCCTGGAAGCTGGACCATGAGGTTTATGTTGCACATGGCCACTAAGGACCCTGCACTAGGTTTTGTCTGTAAACACCTCAATAAATATCTATGGTTGAGCCGCTGAGCGACCAGCTGCAAGGGGCTAAGATGGATACATGAAGAGAAAATGAACCAGACTGTGTAGACATATACAGAGTCAAATCGTTGTCATGGCTGTGAGGCAGAAGTTGAACAAAAGACCTGGTAGCTTTTTACATTATCAATGTAATGGATGATGAAACTGTCAAACAGTGGACAGTGGTGGTTTGGAAAGTTCCTTTCTAATCTCACCTCACATATTTTCTGGGCCTTGTTTTCTGGGTTGTGATGTGCCGGGCTTGAAGCTACTTGGAAGCTACCCTGACCCACCGACCAAGTAAGTGTCAAACTTATTTGATTTGCAAGTCATCAAATCACCATTAAGCAATGAGCATCCAATATTTAAGCAATGATTCCATGACAGTTTAACTTTTCCGTTTAGCAGGTTTTCGTCGGACAATTTTTCGTCTGCAGATATTCGTCTGCAGATTTTCGTCCGCAGACTTTCGTCTATGCATTTTTCGCCTGTGCATTTTCAAGTTCGCGCATTTTTCGTAAGGACATTTTCCGCCTCGCCCAGACGAAAAAAAATGCCGGACAGAAAAATACTCCGACGAAAAATGCACCAAATCAATTCGTACAGACGAATAAATGCAAGACGAAAAAGTCAGACGAAAATCTGCCGACGAAGAACTGTCTGACGAAAAAATTGTCAGATGGAATTTTGTTCAGAGCCTTCAAGCTAATGTGAATGAACAGTAAGTAAGGTTTGCGCTCGCTGATACTCTAATTCTATTGGCTTAATCGATCAGTTTTTTCTGTGAGCGCTCGCGCATACAAGACTTAGAACATATTTGAGATTTTATCCAGGGAGGGCCCTGTTCGGTCGCTGTTTTTATATCAACGTGCTGTCGGTTATTGCTGGCGCGGCTTGGCCTCTCATTGGTCTCACGAATAGACCACTTGAATTCGACCAATGAGGAGCCAAGAAGTTAGCAGCATGGTCGCAGCCTGCTGATAAATAAACGAGGTGCGAACAGAGCTCTAGGTATTATGTAACTGAATGTGCAGAAAATCGAAAGCATATACCTAGGTATCCAATTCCGCCCTAACCCAGAACAACAACAACAACAGGTATCCAATTCAATTTTTCCATTATGAAGCCTGTAGGTTTTATTTCTGTTTTTTTTTATCTTGCCTGAAAGAATACTTGGATTTCTGTCTTCAATAACTGTAAGGTGCTATCCTACATTCCTAATGATCAGGTAAGAATGATTTGAAAGGAACATGACAATACAAAATGCAAGGTAGGTACCTATTACCTACCTATATTTTTATGAATTTGTCCGGCTAAAGAAGGAGAGATTGATATCATGATTCATCTTTAACTTTGACTTGTGTTGAAGCTTCCCCTACCTATGTAGTATGTTGGTAAATGATAAAACCACCACAGGTTTGCATAGGTTCTGCCCCTTTCAATGTTGCTGGGCATCCGTTGGCAGAATATTTAGAAGTAAGCCTGCTCATCAGAATGTTAGTTTAAGTTCTTGTTGTGGGACCCTGAATACTTTGGATCCTGAGATGTATTCTTGCCGTGGGACCTTGAGGACTGTGGACCCTGAAGTCTGAAGTGTATACTTATCATGGGACCTTGGGGACTGTGGATCCTGAAATTCATGCTTGTCGTGGGACCCTAGGGACTGTGGATTCTGCAATGCATTCTTGTCGTGGGACCTTGGGGACTGTGGATCCTGCAATGTATATTTGTCGTGGGACCTTGGAAACCTTGGATTCTAGAAATTTGATTTGCCGTGGGACCTTGGAAACCTTGATTCTAGAAATTGAATTTGCCATAGGACCTTGGAAACCTTGGATTCTAGAAATTGAATTTGTCGTGGGACCTTGGAAACCTTGGATTCTAGAAATTGAATTTGCCGTGGGACCTTGGAAACCTTGGATTCTAGAAATTGAATTTGCCGTGGGACCTTGAGGATCCTGGATCTTGATTTTTGGTCACGGCACAAGTCTGCTCGGGACATAATTTCGGTTTTCTTGAAGCTACTGCTAAAGATGACTGTTCCACCGTCCACGACAGAAATCGCAATAAGTAAATGCATTCTATGTAGTTGGTGCATACTCAAGCATTTTTTTTTGCAAATTTCATAATGCTGCATTCGTTTGCTAAACTTGTTTTTTTTTTTTAGGGCACTAGGCTTTGAGATCGGCAATCACGCTTCTGGGACACCGTATTGCATGTTGACCTACGCAGAGCGTTTGGTGTTAAATGATTAATTATGTGCTTACCCCAAGGATAAACAAACAACACTGAAAATTGGTTCCGCGTCACAATAAAAACATGCAGCAATTTAGCAAGCTGTAAACACTTTCCCTCATTAGGTACAGTTACCCGGTAAGAAAGGTCAAATAAATTAACATCTAATCTAACTAAAGCCTTGGGGCCGTAAACGCCGATACGGCGTCAGGTGCCTTTCAACAGTCAACATTCATGTTGCAGAATTTAATAACGCAGACTGTGGTATATGAGACTGGTTACCAAGCTCCCGGCCCTTTCGTCTGATGACAAACCGTCAACTAGACCTTGCAAGGTCTTTCTGTAGAGCCCATAAGAGCTGCTGGAGTATCCACGCTCCACGACATGAGAGGTGAGTAGCCTATAACCAGCATAACTGACCTCCCCATTTCGACTTTTCTACATCACCCCGACCAAAGCCCGATTGACTGACCAGCCTGGCCTGACCGCATTTCCCGGTCAATTGACCTGCCCGGTCGGTTGATCTCCCCGAACCGTCTACTTTACCCTCCCAGAGTGACCTTGACCCGTTGGCCTGCGCTGGCTTCTTGGGTGACATTTGGTGGAATGACTAGCCTTAGTTACTGACAAAAACTGGCATGATAAATACTAAACAGTGGAGTGAAAAATCGTCTGGCACAACTAACGAAAATAATATAAGTAATAAAAGCCCGGTACAACATACAGGTACGACAGACCGACAAAACAGACTGCACAAAAGACTATCAAAACAAACTGGCACAGACTGACACGGAACGCTATAACTTAGTCATTTTTTGACACAATGTTCAACCGACTGACACAGCTAGCCTGCAAAGCTATATTGAACTAACTCTACAGCCTCAACATAACCTGAGCTTTTCTCACTGGCTCTAACATCCGCTCTTACAATCATTCCAACCTCTTTTCCAGCCTCCCTTCTAACCGTTCTAACCACTCTTCTAACCCTCCTCCCGCCCTTCTGACCCTCCTTCTAACCTCTCCCCGTTTCAAACTCACCAGCACTGGGCGTCCTTCTCACGGTGGACACCGCGTTGACCGCCGTCTGATGTGCCGTCTGCCCCGTCTGACTCGTCTGTGTCGTCTGACCATGCTCCCCTCCTAGCGACGTCATCTCTGTCGTGCTGTCGATACCCGCCTTCACTGAAGGTTGAAGAGGTTGGTGAGTAGGTGGTATGCTGGATGACATGTTTTCTTGGACGTGGACCAGTTCTTGGAGACACATCTCGTTCATGGCGGCGAGGCCTTCCATGGTGTGACCTGAGGATGACCTCAGGGTCAGCAGGGCGACGGGAGGTCTCGGGAAGTCTTGGGTGGCTTGGCGAGGCTCGAGGCGGCTCAGGAGAGTCTTCAGGGGGCTCGAGAAGACTTGCAAGAGTATTCACGGAGAGCTTGGCCAGGCTTGACGCAGCTCCCCAACAGCTTCCCGAAAGCTCACAGCAGCTTCAAAGCAGCTTCATCCAGCTTCAAACCAGCTTCACGGAAGCTTTCACAGTCCTCCGCGTGAAATCCGTTGCGCTCTCCCAAACAATCCGCACGAATCCGAACCAATTCGATCTAAAATCACACCGCTCTGCCCACACCTGGAACCCAGATAGCCAGGCTAAGTCCACCGCTTCCAGTCCTAAGTCCACCGATCTCAGCGTAAGTCCACCGATCCGGGCGTAAGCTAGCGTAATATATCAAACAACAAAATGCACCACCGCTCCCGTCTAAGCCGCGTAACCCTCTGAATCCGCCGCCTCGTTTCGGACGCTTAGTTCGGCTCGCGCCCGCCGGCGGTAGAGCTCGACGCTGATTGGTTGACGCTCCGCCGCCAGACGTCGGCTAGACGCTGACGTCACGCAACGGAGGGAGATGATTGGCTGGCGGTGGATCGATCGTTGGATGAGAGAGAAGCGGCGGCGGCCGGAGAGAAAATGGCGGGGGCTTTGAGGGGATTGCGGGACGCATTTGGAATGTAAATAGAGGATCTAGCGTTGAGCTGACGCCGCCGTCGGGCCTGGCGTTACCAGGAGCGTGTCCAGGCAATACTGGAAGTCGGGACGACCGGCCAAACACGCATGATCACTGGCATAACAGGGAACTAAAGTTCGACCGGCGTGTGCACCCTCGGTCCGCCTATTTTGTGTTCTATCTGCGGGCGTGGCTCCTTGCGTTCTTCCGTGTTTCACGTGGTCCCTATAACGGAATATCATAACATATGGGGACGGCAAGGGGAGCCATAATGTCTTCAGGGGAAGGTCTGGAGTGGAATAAATCTGAGGGAGGCGGGAAATAATGTGATACGAAGTCGCGGCACGGAATGGGAATGGTGACTGATAATGTGGAATGGCCGACCACCGGGAATGCCGGGAGATAGGTGGCCGAGAGGACATGGAAATGTGACGGGAAATGTGTGGAAACAAAGGCTAGCGTACGGTGGTGGTGAACAAAAAGACATGAAGTTTGGGAAGAAGGAACCTAAAAGAAACGAAGATTGATTAAAGGTTTGGCACGGACAAAACGACCATTGGTATCGGCCTGCCAACAACGGTTGGTGGCGATTACATTATGCACAAGCCGATTTGGTCATTGACGGACCTAGGGAGGTGCTATTGAACGAACATTATGTATAAGGGAGGAATATACGTTCTAATAATTTTCCCCAGATCTCACAAACTTTCTAGATGATTTAGCTTGTCTACGCTATGCATTTGGGTACAATCCAACGCAAACTTTTTCTACGTATCCCCATTAAACTCCAAACTCCAAACTCCTCCAAACTTCAAACGGCACTCACCGCTAGGCTCCCGCTCACCAGTCACCACCAGACAATTACATGTCACCGTGATGTCACCAGCCTCTTCATCCCTCCATAACTCCAATTCCTCCCCTCCCCTCTCCCCGCCTTATCAAGACACCACCACTCTTCCCCGCTTCCCTGCTCATCGCGCGGGAACAAGGCAATTTCGCGCCATTTTAGCCGATCTGGCGCGCCCTTTAATTGGAGGTAATCAGGCGGTGCGGCACACGCCCGGCACGTGCCGCCAAACTAACCGCGCGCTGGCGGGAACGACGGAATGGCGCGAGAGAAGGATATTGGCGGGAATTTCAGTGACGGGAGGAGGATGGGGTGTAATCCAGCGGAAAGCGGCAGCTCTATTACAGCGGAAAACGGCAGGTTTGTTACAGTGGAAACCGTCAGCTCTGGTGGCGAGTTCCTCGAGGCGAGGGCTCCATGTATTGAGAGGGGTTTAGGGAAAAGACCGGTAATTAATCTGCCATGTATGAAAGAAGCTACTGGCGTTTCTTGAACTGTCATTGGTGCATGCGACTGTTCACGGTGCTGTTTACAAAAGCACATTGTCGTGAATCCGTCAGCAATAACCAAGCCACACAACTTACGTACCTCCGTTATACCACATCGAGCTATCGACACTTTCCAGTACCCATGTGAGAACACCATATGCCCTCAGTGTCCATTCATATTCGTAATGAAGCACATGTATTCATAATCAAACGCTCTTCAGTACAGCCGATGGAGCGAGGAGACGAAAAAACGCGCCAATCCCCGCCTCGGGGTGGGAGAAATGGCGGAAATGAACAGCTGCGGTGGCGGCGGTATACCAGACGTTGAAAAAAGTCATAGCGTTTAGTCACTGATTTTTCTCCTATAAGATATATGTCATTGTAGTCCGTTGTTGGGAGGTTCCAAAATTGCCAGGACGGTTTGAATGGACTAAAGAATCGAAACACACCTCATTTATAAAAGAGAAATTACTTCGAGTGTAGCTAGAAAATTTACAGCTTCTTAAAACAAAATCCGAAGGCGATACACTAAACTTGATCAACCCCTTGCTCCCCAACTCACCCACACAAGGCATTGTTCGGTGACAACGACACATGTCCCTCCTCACCTCCCCCGGCCCTCGACACTCCCCTTCCTCGAGCACCCATCCCCCTATAACGTACCGTGAAAGCGTGACCCCGTATCACTACCACAATGGCGATCATTACAAAAACGCCATTCAGCACGCCGAACACGCGTAAAAATCGTCATGTGAAGATTGGTAATATCCGTGTCGGGGGTACTCGTGGGAGTAAAGCAGGTGTTTGTATGTGCTGCGAGGGAGTTTGACCTACACTTGGTAAAGAAGAGGTCCCGATGAGATGTTTTAGTGTCATGAGGTATGAGGATTGAGAAGTGTATGTAGGCTGTGTCAATAAAATCGCTCATACGCAAGTGTTTAGTTAAAAACTACGCATTACAAACAAATTATGTGTTGCCCGTCGGCTAAAAGCCCGTGCGTGCGCACTTTGTCATTAGTGTTTTCGTTTTGCATTACCTATCAAGCGAGTTTTTATTACGAAATCTGTCCATAATTACTTTGCTGGAATTTGTCCATAGTGCATAGCCGTGGCGAGTCACAACTTTAACCCTCGCACGACCAGGCCATTTCTCATAGCACGAACGACCAGGGGGGGGGGGGGGGGTTACGACCCCCCCCCTGGCGTTTCGAAACGGAAGGTCGTAGAGCTTAGCGGAAAAAACCAACGGATTGCTCTCAACGAGATCTCGCGATTGGTGGTATATTTTTTGGTCCTAGGTCAACATTTGACCTACTTTTGACCGGTCAAAGGTCAAATTTTCGGAAAAATAGACTTTTTTCAACTTTCGGCGGCGATTGCGGCAAAACGGTGGGAGATATCGACTTGAAACCTTCACTATCGTGTTCCTTGATCAATTCTCTATCGTTTGGTATGTATTTGTTTCCCTAGCTCTAAAAATGGCGCGTTGGGAGCGCCGGAAGTCGGCAAGGTCACAGTCGGCGGCAGAAATTCGAAAAATCAAAATTTAAATTTTTGAAATCTGATTGTATTTTTGGATTTGGGAGGTCCATTTGCTCCCTATAGAAGCTAATATTGCTGCATATTCCCATTGAGGTGACAAGAATTAGCAAAATAGTGGTTCGGGCGCTTTTCAAAAATAGTACCGGACGCTGTTCCTCTTGTGACGTCATAACTCCGTGACCTGACCTGACCCGGTCAATTTTCTTGCACCACACGATAGCCAATGCTTGCCCCAACATGCATGGGAAGTTTCATCATGATCCATCAAACAATGTGGGTATCACCGGCAGAAAACCTAGGGATTCGGCGCACACGTTTGGTAACTGTCGGCCGAAGGCTGTACCTCTTATGACGTCATAACTCCGTGACCTGACATGACCCGATCAATTTTTTTTCGGCAAAAGATGCGCAAAGGTTGCCCCAGAGGGTATTGAAAATTTCAGCCCGCTACGACAAGCCGTTTAGCGTGCACTTCGAAAAAACCTCAGGGGGGGGGTTGATACAACCCCCCCCCCCCTAGGCGTTCTAGGGTTAAGTCGTAGGAGCATTTCGAGCACAGACAAAGGCCGAAACAAACGAAATAAATCTTCATTTAGAGAAAAACGGGCATAATGTTTCGGCTACATCCACGCGAAAGCACAGCCAGCCAGGGTTGTGCTTGACTCATGAGTCGAGTCAGAAATTTGACTCAACTCTGACTCAAATGAGTCAGATTTGAGTCGAGTCGGATAAAATGTTGAGCTGTTGAGTTGAGTCAGAGTTGAGTCGGACAAAAACATTAAGGCGTTGAGTTGAGTCAGAGTTGAGTCAGGAAAATAGCTTTTGACATTGAGTTGAGTCAAACATTAGGAACATGAGTTAGCTGACTCAACTTTCTAGAAACAAGCTTTTCATCCCCCTCCCCCCGGTTAACAACTTGGCCCTGGCCCTGCTGCCGGATTTTTTTCATCCCCCCCCCCCCGCTCAACAACTTTTTTATCTGAGTCAATTTTGAGTCAACTCACTTGACTCAACACAAAATTTGAGTCAAGATTGAGTCGACACATATTTTCATTGAGCCGCTTGAGTCATGAGTCGAGTCAAGGGAAAAATTCAGCTCCTTGTTTGAGTCAGAGTTGAGTCAGGGCTTTCTCAAGTTGAATGATGAGTCGAGTCGGCAAATTTTTTTGAGTCGAGCACAACCCTGCAGCCAGCAGCGTTTTCGACACGCTCTAAACTAAACCTCAACAAACACACAAAGAAACAATAACCTAGCCATGACACCTTTACTTTACTAACTCAACCAGAAACACACTTTTCACGCATTGAATGAGCTCCCGATCTAACCCACAACAGCGCTGCCACCCAGTAGCTCCCTCCCCCCGTAGGTTCTGATCTAGGGGGACAGTGTCCCCAGGGACTGAGGGTCCCAGATTGAAGCTTTAGCCACCGATCACGGAACAAATGACACTGTGCGTTAGAGGATTATAGAGACGGGAGGAGGGAGAGCGATTAGGATGTGGTGTGTGGAGCGACAGAACTGATTGGTTACTGAATACTTCTCGGCGGTATGGGCACCATTGGTTACAGAATTGGTTACTGTTTGTGTTTGGTTACTGATTGGTTTACCGTTACCATCGGTGAACAACGTTTATGGTGGCTAATCCGTAACCGTCTAAATATCGATGCACCGCATAATCACCGCATATCAATGTCACAACGCATAATCAAGGCGAAACCTACAAACACGTATGCCGTGACCATCGTGACTCCCCGCTGATCGGGACCAGCTTTTGAATATACATACACAGACGGCTGAGGCAAAACAGTGGCCCAACTGCCGAGTACCTAATCGACGATATCAAAGAGATCGATAAACACCTTTGACAAGCAAGATGTTGTTATATTCCACTGA